ATATACTTACACCAGATAACCATTGCTTACGTTGGGCTCGTAAAATATGAAGGTGAACTTCAACTCCAGTTCGGAAGAATCTTGTTAAACGAATTTGGAGGAGTTGCAGTCTTATTGATGGACCACTATCAGAATAAGACTGATGCTGTGTGAAATCTTGCAGTCCTGAAAAAATAAAGATCTATTAGTTGAATATAATTAGAAATCTAACTGATAACAATAGATCTTAAACAACCAACACCAATGCAAAATGGAAAAGGTTTAGCCAAAATCAAAACAATGCTTTTGTATTCAAAGCCAAACAAAGTAAAAATGAAAAAGAAACAAACATTAAGAGTAGAGGAGATGAAACAACAGCAAAATATCATGATTTATAAGCAAGGGGAAAATGCTTGGTATAGTAACCCTGATGTAACATCACTTTAAAGTAAAAAAGAAGACTGAAAACCAAAACAAAGACGAGGACACACGAGGACACAAATAGCTATAAGTCGATAATACTTGTGAACGAAGCGCAAGCAAATGAACGAAATGAGAGAGAAATCTCGCCACATTCAACATTTATAATCAAGGTTATGAAAGACAAAAACACACAGTTTTACAATTGTGGAAAGCAAGCATAATGAGGGCACAGCGAAAAAAATGCAAACTCCAAGAAGAAAAGACTTACACTCGTAATATGTAGAATCGTGAAGACAAACATTGACATACTTCACAAAACAATTTCCAACAAACTAAAATACCGGATCCCGAGTCTGAGTACAACGCGAAACGTAAAGACAAGCATCGTCTGCTTGCTATACTCAGCTCCACGCTGCGGATAACAGTTCCGTAAACCCGTAGTGCACCCAAGAAGAACAACGAAAACAAAACAATGTCAGTGGTAGTGCGTACAGCGGTATTTATGTTGACAGATTTTCACATTCGTTGTTTGGCTGAGCCAGCTTAGCTATAGCTATAGCTTAAGTTTAATATGCGAAGCCTTTACAGCTCACTCCGAGGGGCACCAGGCCGAACGAAGTTGGGATTCGGCAGGGTAGGCAACAGACAAATAACAAATGGAGCGCCGTCACTTGGTTTTTAATATGAAAAAAACGCCTGTTAGCCACAAAATAACTTACCTACCAAAAGATTAACAGTAAAATCATGCTGTTTTACATAAATTATTGTGAAGAAACTCATTGTGAAGAAACTCAAATATAATTGAAGTATATCAATCTTCCAAAAGAGTGTTATAATGTTGGCAAAATATAAAACCCTGACGAGCCAAGAGACATATTTAAGACTAGACATAGCAAGGACATCATATACCCTTAGTCTATTATATGTCTAAAGGTCATGTCCATTTGTTTCAAATTTTGGACTGTGCCATAGAGACATCTCAGGGACATAAGGAAGACATACTAAAATGAGTCCAAAAGACATATGCAGGGTCATACCTCATGGATATGTCATTCTCAAGTCTTCTATGACCAGATAGTGTCATGATAGCTTATATCAGGGGATAATTAAGTTATGTTCTAAAAAATTTGCATCGTTTGGGATGAACAATGAACGCCTACCCCTAATAGTGGCGACATTCCTTCATCGGATCCAATCGATACCTCCTCAGAGTCAAGACAGGCTGACTAAAGACCTAGTATAACGACGCCCGTAGATTTCCGCGAGCAAAGTTCCTTCCCGCATTGCGAGTTGCTCCATCTATCGGTCACTCTGGTTTCTTCAGCAAAGACTTTAGAGGGACATAAAATAGACTCGACTTATATGACCGGGGACGAACAATACAGACATATAATACTGGACATGACCGCTGAACATATACGCCATATAGTGTAGACACTTATAAAAGTAAACCATACAAAAGACAACAGAAGGACATAGGACACTGAAATCCCTCTAGACCCAGAGGTCATACGTCGGACATGGGAGAAGGACGTAGGACATAGCAAATCCTATTTGACATGCATGGGACTCCACTCGAAGCTCTCGATAGAAGTGGAAGGATGGGGAAATTCCTGACATAAGAGGGACATGGACTGAACAAGACATACCTTGAACTAGACGCGGAATCGTTCTTAAAGTAGTCGGGGAACGTGTCCCGAGGACAGAAACATGGACATGGACTGGATAAGATATTAACGTAATGAACATCGAGTACGGACCATGTTTTTTTTTTACCATATTCTGGACATCGCAGAAGGGCATAGGACACCAAAAGTCCATTGCAAGGACTTACTGACAAAGCGGACATAAGG